TCCCTTTCCTGCAGTTTTTCTCACCTTGGGGATTTTTAAGGTGTGTGACCTTCAGCTCTGAAATTCCCCCGGCCGGCATGGCGGGCTGGGGAATTCTGGGAGCTGAAGTCCACACATCTTAAAGTTCCCAAGGTTGAGAAACCCTGCTTTGTTGTGCCTTTCGTTTTCTTAATTCTGCATTCCTTTCCTTGCTGTCATTTTTTATGAGTTCTCCGCTTTAGCGAGGGCACTTTCATCCAGCACTGAATGTTCTAGCAGTGCTAAAATATTTAAGGAGTAAGAGGGAGTGCTCAGAATTAATTCATCTGAGAAAACATCAGCCCTTCAAAGTCAGCCTTCCTCAACTTAGTGCTTTCCAGATGGGTTCGTCTTCAGCTCGCAGAATCTCCCAGCACCGTGTTCAACGGTTGCAGCAAGAGGACTCCAAGCCGAAGAAGGCTGATGAAAGTGGATGCTAACGCTGCCAACGCTTAGAAACTGCAAGGATGGGGGCTGGTGTCACACAGTCTTCATGGGCAGAATTGTTCCAGGGTCAATCAAAGAATGATCTTTGTGCCAACCAACTCTTTGCCCCAACCACGCTCACCCCAGTGAGTCCTCTACTGGAGAGGTAGCTTTGAAAGAGTCACCTGTGGCCTAGGAAGCTCTCCACTGACTTCAGGGAGCCCTCAGAAACAGAAGGACTGCAGCTGGATCCTATGGAGTGAGAGAGAGAGAGAGACTCATGAGGGCTGGGAAACCGGTAAAGAACTCCCAAGCACAGCCATTTGGTCTCAGTGTTGCTCTAGGTATCCCATGATTGATTTGGTTTTGCTCTTGGGTCATCCCTTGCTGTGGGTAAACCAAAATGCAGTGCTGCATGTGAATTGGGCTGCGATCTTCCTCAATAAACCCTGGTTAAAATGAACCTGGCTTAGCATGACTTGGGAAACCCAGCCTGGTGTTCTTCTTCTGTTTTACAAAAGCAGAGTAATTTCCCCAAGGCCAGATGATAGACACGGAGGTCATCATCTTGTGTTTTTTTTTTCTTGACACACAAGTTTGAAACCTTAATATAGCCCTGGACATGGATTACCAGACCTTTCTTGTTTCCTAGACTCCATTGTGAGTGAGGCTTACCAGGACAGCTTGGCCTGGCTTGGGTGGCTGAAGAAACACTGACTGGTGAAGGAGGAATCTCTTGTTCTAGGAAGCAAAGAAAGGGCAGGTGTAAAGTGGGTGTAACTTGCCAAAATACTGGATGCTCTCAGGACATTCTAATATTCGTGTATTAGAAAGCTTTCAGACAACCGTGAAATGTAAGAAAGTTGAGACAGACTCTTGCTGAATATAAGACCGGAAGGAAGTGCCTGGAAATCAGAAGTGAAACTGCATCAAACTCAAGGAGGTTCAAGGAGCATCAAGCATGGTAGAGATAGGCTGAGGTTGATATACAGAGACATGTGAAAGGACCTTCTTCCAAAAAAGCAGAACCAAAATGATTTCTTAAAAAAAGAATAAGCTAGGCCAGGGGTTCTCAAAGTGTGGGGGTCCCTGAGACCCTTTCAAGGGGTCCACAAAGTCAAATATTTTAAAAATTCTCAGGTTTAATTTCTAATATTGTAAATATCAACAGATACAACCCACATAAACCAAAGGTCTTTGGGGTCCTCAATCATCTTTAAGAATGTAAAGGGATCTGAGACCAACCTATTTGAGAACCGCTGAGCTAGGCTAAATGGGAAATTGAGTAGCTTGTGGCTAAGCACTTTTGGTTGTGTGTGTGTGAGGGGGAATCCAACTATTTTCTTAGCATATGGTATTATCTAGACCAGTGTTTCTCAAGCATGGCTGGCTGGGGAATTCTGGGAATTGAAGTCCACACATCTTAAAGTTGCCAAGGTTGAGAAACACTGATCTAGACCAATAAGCTACATGATTTGGGCACAGCATGTTATGTGAACCTGACAACAGTGGCTTACTAACATGGTTTAGGCTTAAATAGGCTGTGTGAACCCAGCAAACACGTTGCATTGTTGCAGAGAGCCAAGATAGCAAAAGGTTATACTGCAGGTTGCTTTCCGTGCAGACAGGACCACAACTGCAAACCTGACCACCTCACCCAACGTTCCCAGCTATAATCCCTTGCAGTTTCCTAGCACGTGTGCTGCTACAGTACGTGCAGTTGCTGGGAAGCCTAGCTATTTCTTGCTTCTGGGAGTATAAATAGGAGCAATATAGAAATGGACTTTTTTCGAAAGTTAACTATGGCAGCAGGAGGCTGTAAAACGTGATCAAGACATAACGCTGGAGGTGATGTGCTCCCTCTAAGCTTTTTGCTGGGGGAGGGCAGGAAAAGGAAGATTTTTAGCAGACAAAAGGGCTTGCAGAAAAACTGCTAATAATAGTAAAAGAAATGTTGCGCAGTAAAGCTGGAAAATAAATCAACATTTAAAAGGAGGGGGTAGCCATTTTCAATTTAGCTACCCAAGGGTGTTGGGTTATAACTCCCGCATTACCAGGCCAGCATGTCCACCTAATCAAAAAAGGCTGTTCTGTAGGGATACAATTTACAAAAGTTGCACAGGAACCCAGAACAACAGACATAAGTTTGAGGTACACATCCCTCCCCAGCTTCTCAATGTTCTTTTGAAGAACCTACCCCCTCGATTTGGGTTCCTGCCCCCTCCCTCTGTTGATGTACACTCACTGGCTGGGTTCACGCAACATGCTTAACCAAGTCAGGCAGATCTAGCCCATGCATTTGTATATGTTAAGCTTGATTAAGATGAACACAGTTAGTGGGGGGGGGGGGTGGG